CTCCCTCTACTGCTTCCAACCATAAAATAAGCTCCAGAACAGCATTAAGAGGAATTAAAATTAACCCTTGGGACTCTGAGAATATGGTAGAAAAAAACAAAATCTTCTTTTTGAGGGAAGAAAACTACTGAGGAAAATTACTAAGAGGTAATTTCAGGATAGTTTTATCTGAAATATCAAATATTGCAGGGTTTTTTTTCACTTCAGGGGTCTTTGACAGCAACTGTGACAGAAATTTGCAAGGGAATAGAGAATCTCAAGGGTTCAGATGAAATAAATATTTCTTTCAATCTAATAATGCCTATTTCTTCATACATTCTTTTAACAAAAACAATCCCTTTATGTGAGGCAACATAAGGAAATACATTAAAGTATAAACTCAGAATACTCTGTCTCTGACAGTAAATATACAACTACCGAGTGCATCACATAAATGCACTGTACAGTTAGGTGTCAGCGTATGTCCTTTTGTTCAGAGAGTGTTCAAAGATACAGTGGCACTGAAAATCAATGATTTATGTTCGGTCCTTGAAGTTTCGGCCAACACAGGATCCCTCCAGTCACATGCTCACAATCTGGGTTCCGTGGTGTCCAGATCATTATGATATTGCGCCAAACTCCAGTTATGTGATCACCATTTGCAATATTCCCTGCTGCTTCCCACAAGCAAAATCAATTGGAAAGTTGGCAGCGGAGGTTGCAAATCACGCCAGTAACTTGACCTTTTCCCCCTCAAGAAACCCGCTATGGAATCTGAGATCCCAAGTATCTCATGCTGTGTGTTATCCCTTTACACACTCCCATTACACATAGTGCCTCCCTACAGCACCACACCTGCAGTTTCTGCTGCCCCTCCCAGGCCTCTCCCAAACTGGCTGCAAATACTGCTGCCCCCCCCCCACCCGGTCTCCCTCCAACCTGCCCCCAGCCTGTGTTCCATACTGCATATCTCGCCCTCCCATGACAACTCCATGCTCCTTGCCTGGGAGCTCCATCTCTTTAGTGTCCTGCTTTTTCAGAGAGGATTCACACTTCAATACAACGGGCTAAAATTCTAAGACCATCAAATGGATTTGAGGTTAGTGAATAGAGAAGCTGGGTGGTAGGTATTATTCATGATCAAAATTTCAGAAGCGGTGTCCAGGTGGAAACAAAAGTACTTATGATCTTTTCTTTAATCAAAGTAGCCATTTATGCCATTTCAGCCAACTCCATCAAGTTCTGCAACCATTCTTCTTCCATGGTAGGAATCAAAGCCTCCTTCCATTTTTGTCTTGCTGCTGTCAACGTATATAGTAACAAAGTTCCAATTTTTTTCTCCAGTTCTTTTTCCATTAGGCCCAAAAGGAAAAGTCCTGGTTTCATTTTTATCTCCGTTTTCAAAAATTTCTATATTAAAATATGAACCATACTCCATTTTTTTTTGCTTTATCACATGTCCACCATAGATGATTAAAAAGTCCCTTCTTTGTTTTTACACTTCCAACATTCATTTGACATACCTTTATACATCTTAGACAACTGGGGTTAAATACCAGCAATACATCATCTTATATACGTTTTCTATTAGATTATAATTTAATATAAATTTTAAACCCTTCGTCCATATATTTCCCATTGTTCAAGCATCACATTATATCCAAAAGACTTTGCCCACTGAATCAAACAGTGTTTTACATGGAAGTTCTTCTGAACTTCATGCTCGATGTGGAGCAGAATGAAACTCTGATTTTGGGTTCTACGGATTGGACTGATAGATCTTTATTGAAATGGCTTGTTTATACTATTATGGAAAAGCAAGAAGTTGTGATTTGATGTTAAATCAACATAGGGAGTGGGCGGCATACAAATCTTATTAAAGTTGCAAAGTTGCAAAAGTTGCAAAGTTAATGCCTTATTTTACTATAAGAGAGAGACTCAGAAGTCAATGTTTCTTTTTCTTCCCCCCATCTTTCCTCACTTATCTTCCCCCTTTCCCTTCTCCCCCTCACTGCTCTTCTATTTACTTTTCACTTTTGTATTTTATTACACTCTATAACTCAATTAAAACATATTTACTCAACCAGATTCATGATCAAACTTTGATACTTCCCAGCTTAGCCTCAATTCTTGATAGAGCAAAAGATTCATTGAGTTAGCTCAACAAGATTAGAATTTTTACTGAAGACAAAAGTTAAACCATACACATAGTTGTTTACATAGCCCCAGTCAGTGGTGGCTTCCTACCAGTTTGGCCCAGTTCAGCTGAACCAATAGTGGTAGGGCAGTCTCGATCACTGGAGCCGGCAGCAACCTAGGACTACCACACCCCTGAATCGGTTCCCTCATCACCATCATCACCTCTGCCATCTTGTTTTTTTAGTTCTGCACATGTGCAGAGCAATTTAATTGAACTGTGCACAAGTGCACAGCGCACATCCAGTGCAAAGAGAGCACAAAGCAAGTGCACAAGTGAACGAACAGTAACGCCAAGCAGAAGCCACCCCTGTCCCCAGTGTAAAGATGTAAAATGTTTTTGTAGCAACTTTAGATTTTGGTTTCTTTTCCAAATGGCCAAAAGTACTTATGTTGACTTTTTAAAGACTCTTTCCCCACACCATATATTCAAGATGGATTGTGATTAATACACATATTTCTATATTTATGTGTGCTTCTGTATATGTGTATGTGTATATATGTATATATGTATATATGTATATATGTATATATGTATATATGTATATATGTATATATGTATATATGTATATATGTATATATGTA